ACACACACACACACACACTATCCTCAGAAGGTACGTGCGCACCATAATTAGAGCTGGTGATGTCAGCCAAGTTCCAATCCACGCTTTCTCCATCCTTCACGTTTACGCTCCGAGATTCGTTTCATCCCACTTAATTACAGCAGTTTGGGAGATTAGCGGCGGCTGCAGAAGGTGGCGGGTTCCAATCACAGCCAGTATTTCTTAATTCCGGGGAATATTGGGCCGCGGGGTTTGTGACATTGAGCTGTGTATTATCCAGTGACTCAGCATCAGAGAGAATAGCCTGAATTACTGGTTTGCTTTTAATTAGGTCTGCGCCGTCTCATTATGTCAATCATTTGCAGTGTTGGGATACAAAATTATGCAAGAACGGTTCAGAATGTGTCTCTTTTTTTTTTCATCCAAAACTCAGTATACAGGGATTCTCAGTATTTTTATTTTCTTGTTTTCCAGTGCAAATATCTAAACATTCTTAAATCAAGATACATCTACTTGAGAAGCAAAATCACACAAGTCTTAATTTCTGAGAAATTTATTCAAATTAAGTGAGTTTATGCTTAAGATTAGAAAAAACTGGGTCAAAAAAATAAACTTGTTTTCCTGTTGAATTAAAGGCACAATATGTAAGATTTTTTAATTAAAATATTCAAAAAACCACTAGAATAGTGTTCTATATTTTGCTGACTTGTGTACTTGCATTATCCCAAATGTTTCGAAGAATGTTTAAATCCAGAGAAATAAGCAATTTTAACTAGTGACACGGATCGTGTCCGTAGTGTCATTGTGTCGCCTGCCAGTGACGTCATAACCCCTCAATTTCCGGTTTTGTTTTGTAGAAAACATGGAAACACCAAAGATGCTTTAATATGTTGTGTGTTTTAATAGACCGGTGACGACCGCACAGAGTAGCATTATAACAGAACTAAATGTATCTAGTATGATAAAACAGCGCTGCTTTACCCCACATACGCACGACCGGAAGCAGCGGAAGCAGTCAACTGTGGCATAATAAAAGCTCCGCTGCTTTCCAGCCGTGTGTCGCGCTCGTTCAGCGCCTCGTTTCGCTTCGACGGCTTTCAGCCTCACCCTGCTTCATTCTACTACGTT